CGTTTCTCTATTAACAGTAAAGCTGTGGCTTTAATTCCTTTAGAAACAATTATGTTACCAGCTCCTTGTTGAGAAAGATAATGTTCTTGAGCGATAAAGCTATTTAGTTGATAAAACTGTGAGGCAGCGCTAAAAAGTTTGTTCCTGAATGTCTGAGTTCGGCCACAATGTGATCTGTGTGTGTGACTGAACTTAACATCAAACTGCTTCTGTTTCACACAAATGCTGGCACAGACGTGCATGTTCAGCTAGAGTCGCTTTGAACTCGTGCATCTTCGGAAGCGGAGCTGCACAGAAAGTTACAAAAAATGTTGTGCAAACCACCACGCGAAACGAAGTCGCGCGCACTCAAAGCGAACTTGCGGACGCGTCGAGTATAAATAAGCCTTGAGCGTGTGTGTGCGTTAGATACAGTGAAGACAGCGCGTTAATTTAGAAAGTCTTTTATTTTATTTATTTTTTAATTGTAGAGTGTTAATTTGTGCAATGATAAATTAGAATGAGTACATTACAATATACATTTATTAGAACAAGTACATTATTATTTATGGGCTTAAAAACAAGATGCAAACAATCAGAATATTGTACCTGGTGGGGAGTGCACAATGTAAACATGAAACATATGCCATTACCTATATTGTACGGTGGTACAGTTATGGAGCCCCTTCATAATGCAGAGGTCAACTGCCTGCTCTGCCAATAGTTAGAAATGGCACTATAGTATGCAGTGTTTCATAAACAGCTGTTTTTCTAAATTCTGCTGAGGTGACATTCAGTGCAGTCATGTATCGTGATACGTATCGTACCGTGACTTTGCTGGCGATACACAGCCCTAATATACACCTAGGATGCCTCGGGGGTGAGTAAAACGCAGCCTAATTTTCATTTTTGGGTGAACTAACCCTTTAAGAATTATTTTGAAGTCAAATTTTTATTTTTTTTTTTAAAGCCATTGAAGTCTCTTATGCTGATCAAGGCTGCATTTATTTGGTCAAAAATACAGTAAAACCGTAATATTGTGAAATTTTATTACAATTAAAATAACCATTTTCTATTTGAATATATTTTAAAGTGTAATTTATTCCTGTGAAGGCAGAGCTGAATTTTCAGCATTATTACTCCAGTCTTCAGTGTCACATGATCCTTCAAAAATCATTACAATATGCTGATTTGCTTCTCGAGAAACAGTTCTTATTAGTGTCAATTTTGAAAACAGTTGTGCTGCTTAATAAAAACAGCATTTATTTGAAACTGAAATCTTCTCTTGCAATGTAAAAATCATTACTGTCACATTTGATCAATTTAACATCCTTTCCGCACAAGTATTAACAAAAATAAATAAATAAATCACTGGCCCAAAACCTTTGATCATTAGTGTAAATGTGATGCTATACAATGTGTGTACAAAATCAATCAATAAAAATAAAATTTCTGTCCACCGTTTTAAAGCAGCAGGACAGTCAAATAATTTAATGAAAAAAAAGTGAAACCATGCAAAAACCACAATTCAATTAAATTAATTTAAATATGAACTTAATCTGATGTATAACAAATAATTGCCCTCTGTTGTGCTCCGTCTGGTTGACGGTCAATTATGTCTATTAAGTTTAACAGCAACTCACATTTACAAGCTTTTTTGTGAAATAGAAAAGCTCTCAAGAGCTTGAATTTGAAACACTTCACATCTGCAAATATATATCATATAAAACTTATGCACTGGGAAAAGTATTCTGAGAGCACAAGCAATCTGTCAAAGCATCAACCAGCTCAGATGAAACTACATACTTCTTCAGTTCTTTAAATAGTTTAATGGTATTCTGGTGAATTATGTCGAACTTCTCCAATCAGTTCGTTAAAATCCCATCCTTTTTTACAATTGACTGCAAGTTGAAGTCTATATCTGCCTCCATGCAATCAACCAATACACAGTTCCCACACAATTTATTTTTTCCTTTATCGATAATGTGTCTCACTTGTATGTTACAATACAGAAGAAAAGATCTGTCGCTACTTTCGTTTCATTGTCACTTCTAAATGCTGCCCATGTAAGCAGCTCACTAGATTTTGGAAAAGAGCAATTGTTTATACTCATAAAACATTAAAATTCACATTTACCCCAGTGTCGATGAGCACTTTCCATAAAATGGACTCAATGTAGTAGTTTGTGCCTCCAACAATGATGGGCAGCTTTTTCCGACGATGCATATCCTCTATGTATGATATTAAGGAAGTCAAAACTCCCAGACAAAGGAATTCATTTTTCAAATTAATAACTGTATAGTTACAAGCAATAAAAAAAATTATGCACACTGATCATACATGTGAAACCAAAGTGCTCCACTGCTACAGTGCTTGACTGAAATACAATATCATATTCCTAGATCTATAGCCACTCAAACAATAATGCACGTAATGTCCAGGCCTGGTGCTGTGAGAGGACAGCGGGTTCAACATGACTGCTGGGATTCTGCTATAGATTGTAATAAACGGCATCAAAGGCTGCTTCCATAGAGCATTTCGATAACTGCTTCAATAAGAGAAGGCGCATCAGCACACATCAAACACATACTCCCGGACACACTTCCATGTCACATGCATCAAAATCAAAGTAGCCTGGACACACGCTGTCCACCCCACCCACATTAGGCTGTGATCCCTCGGGAGGGAGGTGGAGAAAATGAAAGAGAGGAAAAGAGAAGAGCAAGAAGCCGGAAAGGGGTGGGGACGAGATTGCGAGAGAGTATTTAAGCATTTCTGAATGGTTATGAGAGAAGATTGAGGAAAAACTAGATTAACAACAAGATTCTCTAATATCCTATCTTGATTATTGATTTTGTAAGAGAAATTACACAACGTGCTTTCTAGTAGTTATGACTGTTCTTCAGTGTGGAAGCGAGACTAGAAAGCTCATCACCCGCCACACCTTATTTCTTGTGCATGAGCGTCTGAGGTGTCTGCGGCAGCGCTCCTCCAGACACAGTGAGAGCCGCCCCACCTCCTCACAGCATCTCCCTCAGCTATTAATATCATCCTCATCTCTCAGCAAACATCTGCAGCAGGCGGGCGGGGAAAACGAGGACAGCGACACGTCTCGCTCTCCGTCTCTGGTATATGCATTTCCAGTTATGCCCTTGCATTTACTGAAAGAGCATGCCGAGGGAGTACAACCCAGCGCCCACTCATAAAATGCCACAGCCATTCATGTGGCTCGCTGGGAAATGCCACATTCCACAAAAGACGAGAAATTAAAAGATTGGGATTTGCATTCAAACAAGGCACAGTCTCACAAAAGCAGTGTCACTGATGTCAGGGAGGCGATGACATTTTAAAAAGAACAATTATTCAGAATGATCATTAAGAAGTTTGCAGATGATATCTTAAAAGGCTGAGTAATAGCCCATTAATTTCATCTGCAGAGACAAAATATAAAGCATTTATATTTAGAAGGGCCTGTCAACTAAATTAATCTCTGCAGCTGTTAATTATGGGGAGTATAGATTGGGCAAAAGTGGCCGACTAGTCACCCAGTTAACTAGTCACAAGGTTCCAGACTATGGAGGAGACTAGTGCTGAAACGATTCCTCGAATACCTTGAGTAACTCGAACACAAAAACGAGGTTGCCGAGGCTTCGTTTAGTCCATTTACTGTAACTACACACGGAACACCATGTTTCCCCATGGACTATTATTACCAGAGCCGATCATCCCAATACGCAAAATACGCAAGCTGCGTAGGGCCCCCGAAACACCAGGGGGCCCCCTTGCTCTCAAAGATGATTTAATTTTAGTTTCGTTTTTTAATTTGGCCAGCGGTTATGAAAACATGAATGATCATTGATTGCGCTATCGGCCTTTCTACGTAAAACCAGTCAAATCATGTAATGTGAATGTCGTACAGTCTTGCTCGAGACTAAAAAATAGGGATGCACCGATACCACTTTTTTCAGAACGAGTCCAATACGATATTTTCATTTTTGGTACTCGCCGATACAGTTACCTGTATTTTCACAGCATTTGTAATTATTTTTTTTAAATATTGGGAACAGAAACAAAATAATAGTAATAATAATAATAATATTATGAATCATGTTAGTTGGCTTCATTTAGTAAATAGATATTACCTTCAGTTATTTCCACACTTAATTATACCTGTTAAAATGTATTGTATAAGCTTTTGTTACTTTCACTGTTCATTTTAATGGCGCATTAGAGCTGCTCCATTGCAGCAGCTCAATACTGTAATCACAAAACGTTTTCCTAAAATAATGCAGGGAACCACATTATACGAGTGTACGCGTACTATTTTGGTGATGTAATTTGCATCACGCGCAGTGTACACGGACCCTCGCGTACGAGTAAAAACCGGAGTATACTTTGGCCTTAAAGCAAGCTAAACATACGCAGCGCGCACACGTTTGTATTGGTGCAGAATGAGAGAGACACTTTCAGCCTAGCGCATTTCACCCAGTCTGCTAGTTTCACTTCTGCTTTAAATAAACTTATCCACATATCTACCTCACTATGTGGTAATATTTGCATAATGCGGTGAAAGAGTGCAAGCGAGCGAGCGAGCGAGAGAGAGAGAGAGAGAGAGAGGGGTGTGCGTGTGTTTGTGCGTGCGCGAGCGAGCGAGAGAGAGAGAGAGAGAGAGAGCGGTAAAAAAGCATCATATGACCCCTTTAAAATAAATGCTGTTTATAGTGAATGCCCCTATAATTTTTATTTGTTTTATATTTACGATTTAGTTTTAATCCAAATGCATGCTCTAATGGAGCGAACAGCAATTAAGATCATGCAACAGAAGTGCGCACTCTCGGACTCTCTCTCTCCTTACCGTCAAATAACTTTAGTAACTTGTGCATTGTTTTACTTACTTGCTTTTGACATATCCGTCCGAACTACAAACTTTCCAGTGATATCTGTGAGATATTCACTCGACAAGCTCGCGCATCTGTGCAGCCGCGCGCTCTGTTTATCAGCTCGGGCACATCCGCTATACAGGCGTGAATATTGAATGTTTAACATTATATCAATTACTTGCACGTACTTCATAGACATCCTTAACCTCTAATAACTCCATTCTACTCTCTGTTGTTCTGTTTTCAGTGTTTTTTTTCTGGACACAGCTCTATTCACATGCTGTTTGGTATCGGCTTTTGGTATCGGGACATTTTTACGAGTATGAGTACGGGTACAGGAGCATAGTATCGGGCCCGATACCGATACCAGTACGAGTTGAAAGCATACCGAGCCGCGGAAGAGACACTGTTTCTCAAGCGCTTTCCGTGAGTGCGATTCGAGACTAAGTGAAACATGGACAAATGCGTTTCATTCATTCGTTCATAACCACTCATACCCCACTCCAACGCCCCCTCTGGCGATACAATTTTGCATAGGGCCCCCAGAAGTCTAGGATCGGCACTGATTATTACTGACACACAACCCAATAAACGCTGGACCATAGACTGTAAAAAAAGCGCTGGACATATTTAAGACCGTAAATCAATATGGTGGCTAGTTATGATGTCCCTTCGTTAGCTATGTTTTGTGAAAGACTAAGCACCATTCATGTTGTCTCATTCTCTCTCTGTGACACACACACACACACACACACACTCCCCATACAGTTATGCATAAAAATACCAGAAAGAAATGTAGTCAATATAACACGAAGAGTGCCAGTTTTCACCTCTAAAAATCAGCATGATTACAAATGTGATACTGAATGTATGCAACAGTTCGATAAACAAGAAATGAATATTAAGAGACTTGTGTTTTAGACACCATATTGCCTGTTTTTGCTCTATTTGGCCAACAAAAAAATTATTCCAAACAAAGCCACAGCACTGTTCTGCGTCTCTGAGCAGCATAACAGTTTTTCGTTCCTGAATGAATCAACCGTTTAAACGATTCGGTCCAATCACAATGACTCACTTATTAACAGTGACTTATTACCAGTGGTTTTATTTTCACATTTAAAGCATCTTTTCATTTTTAGAATAATTGCAAATATCAGTATTCAATGTTTTATGTTTAAAATAACAATATTATTTATGCATTTGTAACTGCAGGTTAAACGCATTCATGTCCCTCTGAGCTGAATTAAACCGTGTGTAAATGGGCCTACATCTAAATGCCTCTTCAGGTAGAGCTTCTGTGTTTCCTCTGCATTACAAAGATGAATTTTGATACTGATATCATTTGTTTGGTAACAGCCCAAATGTCTTATTATTCTAAATGACTGATTAAATGTAAGAATTTGACTCAAAAGATGATGCACACTTTTAGAAAAAAGGCTTTATAAAGGTAAAAATGCCCATAAAATGTAAAAATCTATTTAAACTTATTGGAACAGATTAATGTTTATAACTGCTGTGAACTGACCAGCACACAGAATATGAAGGATATCAAAACCAAATGCAATGTTTAGGTATTGTTATTATTTTTATTACTATTATTTTGATTTATGCCTTAGTTTTAGGTTGCAATGTTTACCTTTTTAAAGTAATGTGAAATAGATTTGTATTTTTATTTATTTATATATATATATATATATATATATATATATAATTGATATATTTGTATTTGCATTTTGAATGTAATTTGGCAATTAAATGCATTAAATGGGTTTAGTTTTCACAGTTATTAATATTAACAGAATAATCATAAAATTACTCGCTGTTCAGTAAGGGAGTCGATTGTAAAGTCAATTACAGCCCTGAATGCTTAACTGACCATGATTCAAATAGCTAAAGACCCATTCACACAGAGAAAGATAACTATAACAATAACTATATAGTAAAGGTGGGCGGATATACCGATAGACACGATTAACCATTAGAAATTGGTCAACTGAGAGATTTTGAACTTTCGTCTCTATTGCGGTTACATGCTCACGTGATGCTGCTGTGCTACGTGGTCATGAAAACATACCATCTGAATGCATTTTTAAGCATTGCGGTTTAAAAACAAGTGATTTTAAGCAGTTGAAAAGCAATCAGCTGCATAAGAGAACTCATTTTGACTCAATTTCAACTCTTTAACGCTGTCTGAGAGATGCGCACACATGAAGACGGTGCTCATAGAGTGTGGGAGTATTTAATTTTTGCCGCTTTAAAGACCTGGAACAGTTAAATACACACACTTGTATGTGTCAAAATGGCAATCTTTGCAAGTATCCTTGTAAACACAGTAATTTAGGTCTTAAGTGAAAACAAACAGCTGGAAAAGAAAACGTGTAACAATATATTAGATCCGGGCAGCTCTTAAAGTAATAGCAGTCTAATATTCCTGCTGTCTCTCATTCTAGTAACAAAAGAGAGAAAATCTCTCACTGCTCTTGACTAAATCACTTTCGCAACTTTAATAAAAATAAATACACATTTAATTTACACAGTGAAGAATATGCAGTGTTTTTATTCAATTACTTTATACAAGATATGTAGCATTTCTTATTTGTTCTACTGAAGTTTTGCATTCTATTGATTGTAATTAGTTTCTTATTCTTAATCGCTGACTGCTTACTTGTCTTCAGTGAGCTTGAGTTGTTGTTGTTTTTTTAATTTAGGCAAGCATTAGTTTTTGTGATATTGACACTGACAAGAATTATGAAATTTCTATGGAATCAAATTTTGGTATCAAAGGCCTTATTTAAAGCAAAAATAAATAGTTAATTAGTTAATGAATAGTATATAAATTAATAATAAATAGTTAGTTAGTAATATATAATGTAATATTTAGATATAGTTACCGTCCTTAGAGTGAACAAACCTTCATCACAAGCGAATTTTGAAAAAACTGTGTGAATCTTGTGACTGACTCATTAAAAAAAAACAGTTTATAAGAGTCACTTGCTCATGAATCAAGCACAGACATAGAAAAATGCCTTAAATAATTTAATTTCACTATGAGGGGTCGGACATTTCAGAAAGGATATGAGAGACAGAGCCTTGTTCCTGAAGTCCACCACAGTGTATCCACTAACCAATGGATCCACAAAGCTGCTCATGTGATGGCGACACTGGGCTTGCTCCTCCTCTGTAACCTTATTGGTGATGATGTCCAGCCCTTTGTAAACCTGCAGTGAGAAACCAACGAGATCATATAAACAATGAAGCAGCAAGAAGAAATTGATGTACAGTAAAGTATGGAGGAATGTAGTAAAGGTTGCATGCTTCATACACATTACTGTTTTCGCTTGGTTCATCATGACATGATAACTACATGAAACTTTAAAGAGAATCCTTTCAAAAACTGTCCAGTGAGACAGGCAAAACAGGTCACAATCACTTTTTCGCTCTGTCCTACATAATTGTGTCCTACTATTGTCATGATTCTTCATGAGGATTGTAGTGTTTGTGTGACTATTGTGTAGCAGCAGAAAGACATTTGTGAGCACCTCAACAGAAAGATCTATTATCTTTGATGGACCTCTGGACCTCAATTGGATTCCAGTATATGAATGAACAAGAACCAGCTCTGAATTTTCAAGCCTTGTTTTGTGGCATCAGTCTATCAGTCTACACCACAAAGTGTTGTGGTCATTCAAGGAACTTGTCAGGGGTGTCAGCAGGGTTTCAAAATCAAGGGCATGCGTGCACCGCCATGGCTAAATTCAGAACAGTGTACCGCAACTCCTCTGCCCTTGCGTGCCGATTTCGGCAAGTTAGGAAGAAATGCTACTGAATTATTGAGATATTTTCCCTTGTGCTCTCCACAGGACATCCCTGCCAGCGAAATCATGGTGAGGTGAATGGGGAGAACAGCATATGAGGAGAGACAGGAATTCAGTCCATTTTCTCCAGAGCAGAATGGTAAACACTAATAAAGGGGCGCGATTAAAACATGCAGAAGGTCTTAATCGCCTCAGAACTTGGCATGGTACTGCTGTTCTGTTTTTTACTGCCCAAGTAGAACGCCTGCTTTTTAGAGCCAGCCCTCTTGAACGCAATATTTCGAATTTACAGGCTTCTAACTCTGTGAAAACTTGGAATCAATAACAGCTGTTTTTCGATCTTGAAATAAAACTAAAACACAGAGTTGGGTCACTAAGCTTGTTAAGACAGACTAACAAAGAAGGGAGTTTACCAACAACCACATAAACTTTCATAAATGCGGAGCCGGAGTACAAAACGCAACATTTTTGGTCACTGTAACTCTGTTGCTAAAAACAATGTGGTGAAACTAAAGTTAGTTTTTGTGATATTGACACTGACAAGAATTATGAAATTTCTATGGAATCAAATTTTGGTATCAAAGGCCTTATTTAAAGCAAAAATAAATAGTTAATTAGTTAATGAATAGTATATAAATTAATAATAAATAGTTAGTTAGTAATATATAATGTAATATTTAGATATAGTTACCGTCCTTAGAGTGAACAAACCTTCATCACAAGCGAATTTTGAAAAAACTGTGTGAATCTTGTGACTGACTCATTAAAAAAAAACAGTTTATAAGAGTCACTTGCTCATGAATCAAGCACAGACATAGAAAAATGCCTTAAATAATTTAATTTCACTATGAGGGGTCGGACATTTCAGAAAGGATATGAGAGACAGAGCCTTGTTCCTGAAGTCCACCACAGTGTATCCACTAACCAATGGATCCACAAAGCTGCTCATGTGATGGCGACACTGGGCTTGCTCCTCCTCTGTAACCTTATTGGTGATGATGTCCAGCCCTTTGTAAACCTGCAGTGAGAAACCAACGAGATCATATAAACAATGAAGCAGCAAGAAGAAATTGATGTACAGTAAAGTATGGAGGAATGTAGTAAAGGTTGCATGCTTCATACACATTACTGTTTTCGCTTGGTTCATCATGACATGATAACTACATGAAACTTTAAAGAGAATCCTTTCAAAAACTGTCCAGTGAGACAGGCAAAACAGGTCACAATCACTTTTTCGCTCTGTCCTACATAATTGTGTCCTACTATTGTCATGATTCTTCATGAGGATTGTAGTGTTTGTGTGACTATTGTGTAGCAGCAGAAAGACATTTGTGAGCACCTCAACAGAAAGATCTATTATCTTTGATGGACCTCAATGAAAACATTGGATTCCAGTATATGAATGAACAAGAACCAGCTCTGAATTTTCAAGCCTTGTTTTGTGGCATCAGTCTATAAGTAGACACCACAAAGTGTTGTGGTCATTCAAGGAACTTGTCAGGGGTGTCAGCAGGGTTTCAAAATCAAGGGCATGCGTGCACCGCCATGGCTAAATTCAGAACAGTGTACCGCAACTCCTCTGCCCTTGCGTGCCGATTTCGGCAAGTTAGGAAGAAATGCTACTGAATTATTGAGATATTTTCCCTTGTGCTCTCCACAGGACATCCCTGCCAGCGAAATCATGGTGAGGTGAATGGGGAGAACAGCATATGAGGAGAGACAGGAATTCAGTCCATTTTCTCCAGAGCAGAATGGTAAACACTAATAAAGGGGCGCGATTAAAACATGCAGAAGGTCTTAATCGCCTCAGAACTTGGCATGGTACTGCTGTTCTGTTTTTTACTGCCCAAGTAGAACGCCTGCTTTTTAGAGCCAGCCCTCTTGAACGCAATATTTCGAATTTACAGGCTTCTAACTCTGTGAAAACTTGGAATCAATAACAGCTGTTTTTCGATCTTGAAATAAAACTAAAACACAGAGTTGGGTCACTAAGCTTGTTAAGACAGACTAACAAAGAAGGGAGTTTACCAACAACCACATAAACTTTCATAAATGCGGAGCCGGAGTACAAAACGCAACATTTTTGGTCACTGTAACTCTGTTGCTAAAAACAATGTGGTGAAACTAAAGTTCATCAGGTCAGGACAAGTTGCTGAATACGTTTATATGTAAACGTGGGTGTTCATTTGTTAATTTGCCTTGCTATTTTCCATAAACCGCCTGAAAGGACAATCATTCGCTTCAAATCCTCATGAGTTACCTAAAAAGAGCATTTTAAGACCACTAGAAAACTGAATGTTGAGACTGCAGATACTCAGCTAATAATGTAGCATTATGAGGGATCGATACAGCAAATCACATGGCCTGAGAGACCAGCATGCCGGGAGCTCCACAGCTCTGTAGCGAGGGCATTTCAGGTCAGGTGTCAGACAAACAAATGAGGATGGTGACAAGTTCTACAGATGGTGGAAACAGCACCTGATATGGTGGGTAGATCTTTAAAATGTTAATTAAAAAAAGACAGAAAAGAACGATAATTGTGCTAACTGACACAGAAGAAAATAAATTGTTGAATTAAGTCATTATTTTTGTTTTCTTCGTGCACAAAAAGTATTCTCGTAGCTTCATAAAATTAAGGTTGAACTGATGTCGCGTGAACTATTTTAACGATGTCCCTACTACGTTTCGTGGCCTTGAACGTGTCGGTTGCGTTGCTGTCTATGGAGGGTCAGAAAGCTCTCAGATTTAATCAAAAATATCTTAATTTGTGTTCTGAAGATGAACGAAGATCTTACAGGTTTGGAAACGACATGAGGGTGAGTAATTAATGACAGAATTTTCATTTTTGGGTGAATTATCCCTCTTATGTAAAGTATCAACAGAGATGAGAGATAGATGAAAATCTACCCCAAAGTGACATTTTAACAGTAGGTAGACCGAGTTGGGATCTTAACAGATATCTTCTTGCTTTCAGCAAAACATGTCAAATGTTTAGTATGAATATGCACCAAATTAAATGGTTTCAGAATGTAATTTTAACATGATTGAAACTGCAGTTAACACGAGAGTGAAACCAATCGGTTTGATTCAGTTTTGTCTATTGCCTCATTTAAGTGGCTCTGACTGTATATGATCACCACGTTTTTCACAACTTGAATTGTACTCCAATTTCCCACATTATTTTCTACAGTAGGAAATATAATTGCATACAAAAATAATACTGACAGGGACCTAAAGTCTAGTTGCAATAAAGAGGTGTGTGTTAAGGTGTGATTAAAGAATCGCAATATACTTTCAGGATGCAACACGTTCCATCAAGGTTAGATCTGAGAGAAAAACCATTGAGTTTGACCACTGAAATTCCACATAACTAAAAACCAAGAAACCTTGCAGCTACCACAGAAAAAAAAAATTGCATGTGTTCTTCTGTTCTTCCGAGAGGTTGTATAGGGCCCCTAGCATGTATGAGCTACCCTCCAGGAAAAGACTAAAATGACATAAAAGAAACCAGAAATAGGAGGTGGGGGGGGGGCATGTGTGTGGCAAAGTATGACAGAAGGCCCTGTGAATGCAGAGCCTGGTCATTTAATGAGGACAACTAGTCCACAGAGGGGGAGATTGAAAGAGAAGAGTGGAAACAGGAACAGAACAAATGTGGACTCCTTATTTCACATCCACAATTTCCAATTGTAAAAAAGACAATAACAGCATTTATGAGGTAGTAACAGTTGCGGCAGGGTGAGAGAATCCAAGAGCTCAGCATACACAAGAACCGAGCAAGAGACGGCCGACACAGTGATCACAAGCCCGTGTGTCGACCACAGCCCAACGGGGTGGGGACTATTTTTCTTTGTGTGAGACTGTGTGAATGAGTGTGTGTATATATGAGACCCAAAGAAAGAGAAAGACAAAGCAAAGGGAAAAGGGGGTGAATGAGCAAAAAGGGTGTAGTGAATCCAGTGACCCAAACCACAAACACTCAGACGAGTCCCCAGACAATGGCTTTAGTGTTGTTGAGCTATTAGAGCCGGCCACGGCTGATCCACACAGCACCTCAGGCCACGCACGAGACAGCTGCTCCCCACTATTCATACAGGAGGAGGGCCATCGAGTGGGAGGAACGGAGAGAAGTGACAGTACAGCCAACAGCAAGTTGGCAATTGACTAAATATCAAACAACATTTTTGATGATGATAAAAGCTGGAATCCAGAATCACATACTGTCTGAGTAAGTACCTCATTTGATGAACCTACACTGTGAACACTAAAAAATCAAAAGTAAGACAGATCACAATATGAGTATTTATGCACAAAAGACTGCCATTTAAATAAGTAGTTTACTTGTTCTGTATGTCTCTTTGTGTTTTCAGCGTCTGCTGTCTCACTACATGTGGACATGAATTTCATCTCCAGAGTTGCTCTGAGTGTCACTTCACCATTTCATCTGATACAAGACTGACATCATTTACTCAGAAAAACAAATTTTGTAAATGATTATACTGCAAAAGCTTTATGCATTCAATTGATTAGACATGCTTTTCCATTATTAAAACTGAATTGAACCATTAAAATCTAGATAAGTTCAAACAGAATTTGGGGGGAATAAAATGGAATTTGAGAAAAAATAAAACATTTCATAGGACCTTGACAGTGTAATAAATTGTTGTTAAAGTTTACGTTCTGAAGTAGTATGGCATCGGAGTACTTCATTCATTTTCTGAATAGTATGAATTTGAACATTTGGACTATTTTCACAATGTTTTTCTGCCAACTATACAGATGATATTCAAATGAAACAAAAGTCATCCATGTTGAACTGAATTTGTCTAAAAGCCCAAGAGGTAGTGATTTGTAATGCCTAATGAAATAATAAAATAAAATAAAATTGAACATTTGCGGAGACTATAAGCTAAGCTAGCAGTCTAATCGGCAAACAGTGTGCTGAGCTACTATGCAAAGCAGTTAAATACAAACTACCTAAATAAACAGAATGAGAAATCTACTTTGGTTATATAGTATCATATTGTAACATCTCATATACAAGACAAGTAAACAAAGTCTGGGATGCACCATGTTTCACCTGGTTTATCTTCTAGGTGAAAACTGTTAGCTCAAGCATTTAAGAAAGTAATAGCACACCTCTCCTCAACAAGAGGCTTTTAATTTGTACAAATCTATGACAAATTGATGGCAATGAGAATAAATGAGAAGCCTGCTTCTGTATTAGAGGTGGAAACTGCAAACTGAGTTTCTCCAACACTGTACCTCCCACTACACATCTGTAACGCCCCAATTGTGCAGTCATTCACGCTGCCCCACTCTCCTGCGTCTTTCCAAACCGTTCCTCCTCTCCTCCAGGAATGGCTCTGTGAAGCCAAGCTAATAAATCATTCACAATGTCGCTCTTTCCCCTCGCTTTAGCGCTCTCGTGCAGTCATCATTTGTGGAGGCTTTCTGAATCGCACCGCACTCAACACCCCACCCACAACTAACCAATTTCCACACATCGTTTTAGGCTTTTCTAGGACAGAACAGGGCACCAGAGGAGATGAGCAATGGAGAATAAATGAGAGATATCACTTCTATTTCTCACTTCAGTCTACACCAAGAGAACAGCGCGGGAGTTTAACTGGATATCAGGACGATCTTGAGCTCTGTCGATGTGTTGTGCTGCCAATCCTAGGCGGCCAGACAGACTGACACAATTGGATTTTCATTAATTCAGCTCTAATTGAATTTAGCTGCTGGTGTGTTTGGCAAAAGGGGGGGAAATGGTTCCTTCCAAAAGCATTTAGCGCCTGAGCAAACGCAGACAAACTGACTCGGCCCTTCAAAGCAAAAAAAGGCCACATTAACCCTTCCCTTGTCATCTACATCCTTAAATTAGGTTATAAATCATTTGGCAGATGTTTACACTAATAGTTCTGCCAAAAATGACAATTCTGTCATAATATAGTCATGTCTTTTCAAACCAGAATGCTGTTGATTTTTGGCTGTGGAACCCACAATTTTAAATTT